ATCTATGATTCACTCAGGATTTACAAGACTGATCTCCATCGCAAGTTTGTCATATTTTAAATCACGCACATCCAAGTTGCCTGTTGAGCTTGAAAATGCAACATACATGATTAGAAAACAAACTTCCCTGTCAAAAATCCGCCCTACAGCTTTCCCACGCTGCTTTGAAAGAACCTGCCACCATTTGGGCTGGAAATGTACTGAAATCCTAGACTACCATGGGACCAATATTGTCTCTTGTTTCCACACTGCCACCTGTTTAATCGATTTTATTCTTTCTCTTCATCTTACAGTTGCAAGCTTTTTTTTTTTTCTTTTGTGCTGCTTCTGTACAGGACTAAGTACAATAAGGTCCCAGTCGTTTTCTCAGCACTACAGAGAAATAATCATTAAATAAAGCGGTTTGGGGGTAAACGGCTGGCTGTCACTTGGTGACAGATTAATCCTTAGACGCTTCCTTTTGTTGCTTCTGTACAGGACTAAGTACAATAAGGTCCCAGTCGTTTTCTCAGCACTACAGAGAAATAATCATTAAATAAAGCGGTTTGGGGGTAAACGGCTGGCTGTCACTTGGTGACAGATTAATCCTTAGACGCTTCAAACTTTGTGCTTCGCTATAATATAAAAGTAAAGCATTGCAGATTGCCCAACTACAGCTGTCATGGAGAGAATGTGCTGTGCTTGTGTGGCTGGCCTCAGGGCATCTCCACAAAATCTGCAAAATCTGGCACAGCAACCAGGTGAAAGACTCCGTAGCTTAGAGCTAAGGTTTGGATTGCAAAGAAGAGAATAGCACCGACTTTCTAATCCTGTATAATTCTATAATAACAAAAGATTTCTTACTGAATGAGTTGCAGGTAGATGACTGTCACGCAGCCTTATGCATTTGTTAGGCCAAGTGTACAAGATCCCGAGGTTTTATCAGGGAATGCAAGGAGCAGCACCTTGGAGATGTTCCAGATGAAGGCAATACTGCTCAGATATGAAACAAAAGTGAAAAGCAGAAAAGGAGAAGCGCTGAGAATAGTATATTCTTCAGCTTCCTTTTCTAAAACCTCTAGAGTTCGGTAGAGCCAGCTCTATGTCAGCGGACTCATAGCTCAGTCAGTGTTTCCTCTGAAACTAGCGCTGCAGACCGCTTTCACATTTGCTTTAGATCCTGCTTCATTGGCTTATAACCGCATTAACCCACAGCCTATTGCAGTCGCTCTGGTTTCGCCTGTTTTATTTGGACTCCTGTCAGTAATCATTTATTCCAAGTGGGACTCCCAGTCCATTTATCACTGTCATTGCGTTACAGCAGCCAAACCTCCTTTTTCCCCCAAAATAGAAGCTTTTTGGCGGCTGTGTCTCTCTCCAGAAATGCAGAGTTTTAGGTTGCCTGCTGCTTTTCAGATTTCTCAGGACTCTGTGTGGGCTATGAGCAGAAATTTCAGGATAGAGAATCAAGTAATTCCTCCTTACTATAAACCAAAACTATCCTTCCCATATTAGCTTATTGGTGCTGCACTAGGAATCCTACAAGCCAAAGCGTGCAGGCACAAGTGCCGAGTGAGAGGTGAATTTCACACATCGCATTTCAAGTCCAAACCAAGAGCCATTCTGGCCTCTCTTCCTTACAGATTAAAAAAGCATGGGTGGAGGATGTTTGCCTGACAAACTGCAGAGACCCATGTCCTCCATTTACCCGCAGAACCGTTGTGAGAAAGGAAGCGGCTCTCCAAACCTCTTTCATAATGTGCCTTAAGTAAGTCCTGGAGACTAGTTGTTACAACAATTTCTTATAAATCAGCCTGTATACCGAAGCGGCCAGCAAGGGTCAGGCTAGGACAGGTGGACAGTCTGATGTCCAGCACAGCCTGTATTATTCAGGAAGATTACTGAGCACCTTCTCTTAAAGAAGAGGAATTTGTCTGCAGCCTACCGAACGCTTTGGTTGCAGCTATAGGTTTCCTTTTGAAGAAGATGGTCGATCTGACCTCCCTACGGGGGCTAGGGCTCTATCTTTCCCATAAAATAATAGAGGTGTAACTCTCAACTAAAGATGATGTAGAAGACTCACCTCTACCCCAGTGCCCAAGCTCAAGTCGCTCGGAGGGAAGCAATCCTCCTGCCATCCATATTCCACGGCATATCCTTGGCTCGCCTCCATGGCACAGCCTGCTTGGAGAGCTCTCCTACTGTCAGGGCTTTCCTGGGACTCATCTAACTCCTGTTGCATAAACTCTGGAAGCTTGTTTACAAGAGAGGATTAATTTAGGCACAGAACCTTTTCCACCCTTGACAGCAAAGGCTCAAAAGGAGCTTTCTCCATTTCCAGGTGAACAATAAACCTAGAGACTCACAGCTCAAAGTTTATGTAACAGCAAAGTTTGGGTGGCCACTGTTGTCAAGATCCCAGTGACAGCAAACGTTCCTCTTTGTTTTTCGTCCCTGCTAGACTCCTAACATCACATCTGTGAGACTCTGAAACTGGAGCTGCAGAAACTCTCCTGCATCTACACTCTCGACACACACCACAGCCTCCTTCCCTGGGAGACTTTGTACTGCATGGTGTCAGGATAGATGGGAGGAATCAGGTGGGAGAGAGAAACAAGTTACCGTGTACAGGGCCACCCGGGCTGCCTGCCTTCTTCACAGCTCACGTGCGTGTTTCTAGCAGAACGACGATTCCTTGCTCTGAATTAAAAGCAGAATTCCTCCTGCAGTTACTTTCTCTAATAAGAAGAGCTCTCACTCCTCTATTTCATCACAGTCGTGGTAGCCACTGGACTTTTTGTGTCCACAGGACAGTGAAAAGACCTCAGACTTCCTAAGCATTTCGCCATCCTTCCTCCCCCTGGCTTCAGCTCATCCCTTTCTTTAACCACCATCTTTTCTTGTCTTTTCTTTCGATTAGCCTGTTTTGTTTTCTACCACCTGGTGGTGCTGCAGTTAAAAATACCATGGAGATAAAATAAACACTCGCACCTGACCATGAGATGGACCCAGGCTGGCCGAGGGCCAAAGCGTATAGATGGTGAAGTGTGAGTTCATTATGAGAAAACAAGAGGAGCAGCCAAATATCCTCAGATCCTGGCAGCAACTACAGCCCTGACAGAGCAGCTTGCACTTCTGAAAAGTAGGCATGCCCCTCTGGCTACACGGTGGCCTCGAAGCTTGCTTTTCAAAAGCCCTATCAGTGACTTGTCAGGAGACCATGCACTGCTTCTAGCTGCAATAACGGGAACTAGTGATATCAACTATCAACTCTGCCGCCCAGAAGCAGCTTGCAAAGGTTTCAGCTCGGCATAATCCAAATATAGGCACTCTCAGGCTAACAGCTGTCACACAGCAAGTCCCAATCCAGATCTGACCGCAGACAGGCTGTTAATTTTAATGAACATCTCAGAACCCTGCCCAATTGTTCAGCCTCAGTTCAAACCACCGCAAAGGGAACACGCAAAACCGAGCTCTGCTGCCCTGCCGCCCGTGTTAGCCTGGGCAGCGTATCCCTGAGCAGCCCAGAAAGCCGAAGGAGATGTCACAGAGTCCCAAACACCTGCCAGTTCCCCAGCCACCTTGGAGTTTTTCTCCTGAATGTTAGCAAGACTCAAGAACACAGATTCCTCATGGAAGGACTGAGAAACAGGGTAAAAGTTACTATAACATGTCCAATCCCCACACATTTATGATGGAAAACGATATGCCGAGCCATACACCCGTTTCAACAGCTAGTTCCAACCCCTTGCACTCAGATCACAGATCTCTAAAGCAGTTGTCCAGAAGAGAATGACTCACACCGGCAATGACCTCAGAGTTCCCAAGACCATACAGAGCATGGCTCCACGCTCTTGGTGCACGGGGGATCAAGGACTGTCTGTATCCTCTCGGGTTCAGATATTTTTTGTAAAGCAGCATGCAGGACTGCAAACAGAGCCTCTGCTAGGAGGTTCCTCAGACAGGAATGACAAGGCATAACTCTGCCTCCTCTCATAATATTTGGGTTCTCTCTAAATATCCACAAAGCACTTGCTCGTATTCAGCTCCCTGCTTCCTACTTTTTGCTGTGACACCTGAAAAATGTTCACTAACAGCCGGGCCTGTGGTCCTTTTCAGTTTCTCTCCAGCTGCCCTGAAGGGAAAATACATTTCTCACAGCGCATGTCCAAGGGCAGCCAGTTCGTTTATGCCCCAGGAAGGTTTTACTGACCTTAAGAGCCTCTGAGAGACCCTTACTGGAGAGCGAGCATTGCTTGAGGATACAGGGTAGAGAAAGAGGGCAATTCTCTCATTTCCAGAAAATTTTCTCTGCCCACAGACAACCCCTTGGGAATTAAAATGTTCTTCAGTGCCCTGCGTACCTGCCCCAAAGAGGAGGGACAGGGTTTGTCCATCAGCCAAAGCCATGCAGCAAAGCCACAGTGAAAGCAGTGGGAGGACAGAGTCCCACGCACACCGGCGAAGGAGCAGCTGCCATTCCTGTGCACTACTTACATCTGAAAGCAACAGTCACACCCATGCAGGTTCTGGGAGGCACCATTTGACCATTGTGTTAGTTAATAAAGTTTTGGATGCTCTAGAAATCCCTGTGCCCGTTCATAGGGCAGATGCTAGGCTGAGACATCACTGCATCTGTGAAAAAGAGCCTAAAAGATCCAGCTTCGCTCAGGCAGCATGGATATTTGCTTGGGCAAAGCAGAGTTTTGCGAAAAAAATTATTAAAGGAAAAGTTGACCTAGAAAATTCCTTGGGGGAAAGGGACAGGAAATGGTCAAGCGGCCAAAGAAAACGAGGATAAACTATTGCCAGGCAGGATTTAGAGATCATTGAGACTATCTGGAGAAGCAACCAATCCAGGCCAAGCAGGATGGTGGGGTACAGTCAAGCCAGGCAGAAAAGTGAAGCAATCCATGAGGCTGATTTAAGCAGAGGAATGGCCGGCCTGGGCCGGAGGGGAGGCTGGGGGAGCGGGTTACAGCCAGGCTGGGTCAGAGCCAGGCAGCGACAGCCATACTCACTCAGGCACTGCAGACCACTTTTATTCACAAGAGGTTTGGCACACAGTGAGCAGCTGGTGCAACTGGAGAAAACCCCTGGCACAAGCTGGTGCCTATTGATCTCTTTCCACCTCTCTTTTGGCTCCTTTGTCTCTTTCTCCTTTTCTCTCTCTCTTGGCTGCTCTTTGTTCTTACCCTGGAAGGAGAGAAAAACACAGCTCCGTTACAGGCCTCGCACTGCCCACGCATTCCTTTCCCCCTGGTAAAAACGAGCACGCAGAAAGCTGATGTGCAGCAAGTACAGTGGGCACCTTTGTGCCTGAACCTTTGGGACGGTAGTGCTTTTCCCAAATGCCTTCCTAAGGCTCGGGCCAGCCCCTCTAGGCTAGGGTCATGCGCGATGAAGGGCAGGACACAGCACTGCAGCACGTGGCTGTGCCTCTGCAGGCTCTCCTCCTTGCCACAGCGGGTGATCCAGGCAGTCACCCAGCCAAAGCACTCTCTCCTGGTCTGCACAACTCATGCTAAGACAGCATGAGAGCAGCCAGAACATGCCCTGGAGCAAGGTGGGCTGAAAGTCAGGGATCACTCTGTCCAGTGCATGACGTTAGGGGCCACAGTGCATCTGCTGGCCAATGTAGAGGCCTCAGCCATCCAAAAGCAATCCAACTGACTCATCCCTGGGGCCAGATCCCCTTTTCTACTTGAAGAATTCAACAATTCCTTCCACAAATTCAGCATCTCTCCCTCACCTTATCCTTCTGCCAGGATCCGGTGACTCGGCTCCGCAGGGAACTCAAACGTCGCATCACCTTCGTGCCTTTCTCTGCTTTATCACTCTTTTCACTGTCTTCATTTCTGAAACAAGACCGAAAACATCTTAACTAAGGGGAAGTTAACTGGCCGAGCACAGCGCAAGATGGAGTTCATCTGAAGCATTACTTTAGGACCCCATCTCAGAGCTTTCCATCTCCCGGAGGATCTGGTTCGGCATCAGTCACGTCATTTATTAATGGGACACCTGCAAATAAGGAGCTGAACTGTCAAATCATTTGTGCGAGTTCTGGCTGCCTCTGTGTTTTTGTTCAGTGCCATGCACAACGAGGCCCCGATCCTGGCTGAACCACTGCAGATACCAGTCTCCTGCACACAGTATTAGCAGGGCAGTAGAGCTTAGATGGCGGGGGGCTCGAAATCAGTCTGCTCTGGGAACACGAAGTGTGTGGGTTACCGTCCGTCTCACTTACTCATTAGACAGGAACTCAAACCATGTGAGGTTCTGCTGGGAAGAATCGCTGCCTTCTTGCACACAAGCTCTCTGCTTTGCCCTGTGCAGGGAGAAGACATCAGACACACAGCAAAGAATACAAGAGCAGAACTTTTGGGTCAGCGGAAAGGCTCATCTTTGGAGACGGGGCAGGAACATGTTTAGAATTACAGAAGAGGCACGTGAAATGCTACTTCTCCTTGCAATTCTACCCTAGTTTCACTAGAAGAATACAGTGATTCTGGTACCTTGGGGATTTGCCCCTCAGGGGACCAAGTGTCATTTGCCAGGTGGGTCCTAGGCAGACCCATGACCTCCCCACCCACATCCCTCTCCCAGACACACTTACCCATGATATTGTTTCAGCTCCTGAAGTACCTGCTGGACAATTAGCCTACCAGGGATGGGGCAGAAGAAAAGCGAGAGATTAGAAAATGTCCTTGCAAAGACATTCTGCACCCCACAAAGCATCAGGCGCTGGTTTACGACCAACTACTCAGCTGTGCCCCAGCATGGAGTGGAATCTCCTTTGCCATTGCATCTCCAGTAGCTCAGATATACTCAAGAATCCCAGCCATCTCAAAACAGGCAGCACTGACAATACCTACACGTGGTCTGGGGACACGTGGTCCTTCTCCAGCATCTCCAGAGCAGGGGGTTCAACACCTGGAACACAAAACACTCTCAGCAGGGATCCTGGTTTGCCTTTGCAGAACACCATGTTGCAAGCTATGCGATTGGACCCCGTTAATCTTGCTGGGCTCCCACTCTGCCTTTAACGGGGAGGGAAAAGTGCTGGGAGCAGTTAGGGAGGAAAAGGCTGCACTGCATTTCTGTGAGGGAGGGGAAGGCTCCATCACTTTTCTGCATTACCCCTCCCTTCTCCAGTCTGTATTACATTAATTTCTGAGGATCCTGCTTGCAGCTAGAGGGTAGGAGCTGATACCACCCCAGAGACCCTCCCCATGACAGCCAGCTTCCCCTCCACTTCCCAGGCTGTGCTCTTAACAAGTCTCTACATTTTGCTCCTGGGCAGTTCTGACAGGTGGGAGAGGTTAATGGATTCCAGCAGCACAGAGAAGGCCAAAATTAAGTTTACAGGAGCTAGAGTGCCCCTGTTTTTCTAAGGCTCTTCGGCTTTCAGCACAGAAACCAGAACCTGGCAGCCTTGTCCCAAAGCCTGCTCCCCTGCCAGCTGGGCACGGTGGGTTAGTTAAGGGCACTGCTGTCAGCAGGGGCCTGCACACAGACCATGTTTGCCCCATTCTTTGGGGTACTGGTGGAAGGGCACATTTAAACCCAGGCAGATGAAGCAGTGCCTTTTGTTCCTAGGATACCATCTTTGCCTTGCGTGAGTAGGGAGTGACCAATGCACCAGCCACAGAGAGGTTCTATGGCAATGTGTCACTGGGGACGGGCATGTCTGCGCTTAGACTACACTGTTAGCCAGGATCAGACTCAAAGTCAGCTTGACTTTTTATTTTCAGGAGCTCCTGGGACCACGTAGAAGGGAAGGGCAGAGGATGTTTAGGCTTGCAGAGGCTATATCTCCAGTGTTTAATCTTCTTAATCACAAACACCTTGAACTCATTTAATGCCATATATATAGTCTATACCAACCTTCCACAGCTGGAAGAGAAGGGTCAAAACTGCAAGGTGTCTGAGGGGAGGCAACTGTCTCGCAGACTGATGGGACAGACTTCAACCTCAGTCTCTTCCCATTGCTGCCACATTCCTGGAGAAGTAAAAAGTCATGGACATGTTTGGTCGTTTGTGCACCAAGGGAGCCTCCATCAGGGCACAGCGTGGCTGGCAAGGTGCAAGGCAGGGAATCTCAACTTTAGCACCAACGATCATCCCTGCCTTCCCACAGCCTCCTACCCTGCGTGCCCACCCTGGGAGCCCCAGGGCAGATTCCCTTGCTGCGTGGTTTGATACCTGTGGTATATCAGAGCACAGGATTAGGTCAAGACCCAAGAGCCCTCAGCA